GGAGCCCCTAGTAGCGTCCTTGCTCCTAGTAGCCATGCCCTTGTTTGCATTGGTTGTGGCAACAGGCAACGACTGAGTTGAGCGACTTCAACAAAAGAACGAGCTGGCCCGTCGATTTATGTTCACGTGATCTAGCAGTGTTTCACCGATTGCGCAACAAGTTGGCCTGTATGGAAGTGGAGGGGATATTGTTTAGCAAACAGCTGAATCTATTGCACACACACACACACAAAGAACCTGAACTTCCCATGCCTTGTAGGATGACCTTACAGCAAATGCCCACGCGCACACACACACACACACGAAGCCGTGATCATTTGACGGCCAGCGACCAGCTCCAGCCAACTTCTCCCTGGCCTTCTTGGCTGCTGGGATTACAGGTTTCTTTGCCATCGGCCTTGAAGCTGAACGAGTGTCCCTCCCAAAAGCTTCTTGTGAGGTATGTCCTAAAATTCAAACGATTCCTTCCATTTCTCTAACTCACCCTACAAAACACTCTGTAAACAAAGAGTAAGTACTAGTAGGGGGAGGCCATCGCTATCAGGTTGGAGGCCATCGTATTGACTGTGTTCTCTGCTGCCGTGTGGCGCCGCCGGCGCCGGAGGTGGCATACTCTTTGAAGTGGCTGGAGCCTGGCAGCTTCCGCTACCGTTCGGAGAGTTTCGAGATGCGACCGTTAGTGAGAGATTTCCTAAAGTGAATAGACTTCTGAAATCTTATTTTGATCTATGTTTCATTTTGAGACATGCCCTGCGCAACTCAAACACTGAGACACTGACGTTTTCCTCGGACGATCCATTTTCAAGACCGTCCCTTACAGGGTTTAGAATGCATACTTGATTTGGCCTCCCTGAATTTGACAACAACAGTACATCACCAACTTCCACCAACTACTAGCAAGAAGCTACTAGTAGCTCCTGGCATTACTACAACAAAAAGCTACTAGGCATCTCTACTAGGAGCAGTTTTCGCTACTCGTTCCAAGGCCAACTTACCAACATCCAACTGGGCAGCCCGTTTGGACCAATGGCCTCCCCGAGCCCGTTTGGACCCATCACTCCACCTTTGCGGCGCCCGGCTTCTGGCGCACACGGGAGGGCTCGGCGGCTTCCTGTTCAGGCAGCACCTTTGTTCCTAGTAGCGTCCTTTGCTCCTAGCAGTAAGGCCAGGACCCCTAGTAGCTTCTTGTTCCTAGTAGCGATGCCAGGAGCCCCTAGTAGCGTCCTTGTTCCTAGTAGTAAGAATGCTACTAGTAGTAAGGCCCTTTGTTACTAGTAGCGATGCCCTTGTTCCTAGTAGCTTCTTGCTACTAGTAGTCATGCCAGGAGCCCCTAGTAGCTTCTTGTTACTGGTAGCGATGCCCTTTGCTACTAGTAGCGATGCACTTGTTACTAGTAGCTTCTAATCTTGGGGTCTGAATCGAAGGACCTTGAGCACTCCGCTGCCATCCGTGTGCTCCAGCTTCAGCTTGCCATCCGGCCGGATCTGCGAGGCATCGAGCGAGAGCACGTATGGCACATGCGAAAACAGACACTACGAACGGGGCTCCGAGCAAGGACGCTACTAGGAACAAGGAAGCTACTAGTAACAAGTGCCTTACTAGTAGTAACAAGAAGCTAGTAGAAACACGAATAAAGCTACTAGGGGAGATATGGAGGCTAGAGAAAGAACCTGAACAAGTCCAGCATGAATGCTGCTTCTCCTGTGGCGATTCAAGTAACAAGTCCCTGGCAAGCCACCTATTCAACGTGCTGTGATGGCCTCCAACCTTAAGTTTCCCCCAAACTCTAGGAGCCAAATCATTAGTGTGTGAGCTCTCCTGCGTCCAGTCGGTAGTAGCCTAACGAGTAGCTACTAGTGACCTATCTATCGGCCTACCTTTGTGGGCTCCAGGGCTAAAACCAAAACACAGAAACACCAGGCACGCCCTTCAAAAAGATCCAATTCTTCAAGGGTAGAAATTCTTGGACTCGCCGTTCCCCGATCTGTCCGGAGACCCGAGACCCCCGGCCAAGGCGATTTTACACTCGATCCATTCGGAGAACGAGGGGCCTAACGCAGCAGTGAGTGACTTGAAAGAGCAAAGGTCGAACAGAGACTAACAAGTAAGGCCAGGAGCCCCTAGTAGTAGCGATGCCAGGAGCCCCTAGTAGCTTCTTGTTACTAGTAGCGATGCCAAGAGCCCCTAGTAGCGTCCTTGCTCCTACACATGCAATCCAACTTTGGTCTCTATGTTCATTTTGAATGCTTCTGGCTGAACATCGGTACTTGATCGCATCGAAAAAGACTAACCTTAACACGGAAAGAAGAGGAATGGTTCTGGAGTTTCGCTGCTCTCTAGTGTTGCAACTCCATCGTTTTGGCGGATGGTGCTGGTGCAGCAAGGTGGTCAAGCTCTTTGGGCAATCGTCAAAGGCTCTGGGCAAGTCAAGACATGTCGTATCTCACAGAAGGGGACACATACATGAGAACGGGATTCTATTTGGACCGCAAGGCGCTGCGATATACAAGCCTTTCACAGCACTTGTTCCTAATAGCAAACGTTGTTACTACTAGTAAGGCACTTGTTACTACTAGCGTGGCACCCTTTTTGCATTTGATTTAAACGAAGTACTTCCTTCCTTTCTTCACTCAGTGGGCAGAAAGACCGCTCAGCTATCGGCTGTAGTACTCAACTCGCTGGCCCACGTGGAAGTCTGACATCCTCGGCACAAAACATAAAGCACAATGCTCTCTCCCTCTCTCTCTGGGTTGGATCCTGCGAATCAGCCAGTGAGAAGAAGTGACTTACAGCGGAGACAATGCTGGTATCCCTGGTCTAAGCCAATGCTTCTCCTCCATGTTGGCAAATGGTGACCCAAAACACCCACAAAAAAACAACCCAAAATCAAAGGATCTCACAAACCTCCCATTCCAACATTTTCTCTTGGGAGGCCATCGCTAGTAGGTTGGAGATCTCTGTTGGCCCATGGGTTGGTACAGTCTGAGTCCAAAACCATTCGTCTATGACTCACAGGACTGGAGCTGCTTGCAACTCCAGGTGTCGGGTTATAGCCGGTATAGCCGGCAAAAACCCAGGTGTAACAGTCAAGGACGAGAAGGGATGGCAGTGAACGATCATGGTCCTACTCTGACTCGAGCTTCTTGCGCTGGCGACTCAGTGTCAGGCCGTCAATCGCATAGAGAGCAAAGCAATCTTTGGCTTTGCTCCAAGATGGCGGGAACAGGGCGAAAGGAATTGGACTTGGACAAATATGGGACTTCCTGTTTTCTAGGCGATCTGAGCTGTTGGGATTCAGACTTCATGTCATCAAACTCTACTTACCTCGTTGCGCGTATTTGCGTGTGGCTTCCACACAGAAACAAGCACAGCCTGGAGTATGGCCCGCGTTCCATTGATGTCCATACCAAAGCTATTTGCCCACGGATTTATGGCAGAGTTTTCTTGGTTTTCGAACGGCTTCAATAACCAGAGCTCTTTACTTGATGGTATTGCTATGCCTTCCAGGTCGATGTGGTGGTGAATGACAGGTGTAGCTGCAATGTCATATTTCAAAAACCATGCCTTGTTTGGATTCCACTGGTTCGCAACGGGCTGAGCAGGTGCAGCAAAAAAATGGGAACCACGCAGTCTCTGAGTTCGCAAGAACAAAGAAGCTACTAGCTTATTGTTTCTAATAGCTTCTTGTTACTACTAGTAAGGCACTTGTTACTACTAGCTACTAGTTGCAGGTTCTTGACAGTGACCTCGCCTAGCATCGATTGCACAGGTACAGTATGTCTACATCAATCAACCAACCCTGCCAGGCACTGCATGAACATCCATGAAAACGGTCAACAAAAAGGGAAGGCCTTGTCGGCTTCTCCTACACGAGGTCTCTGGAGTCTGACCTACAAGCTACGAATACATGATGCCCAAAACCTCTTTGATTGAGGAACTTGTGCCAACTGTCCAAGCCAGTGGGGCTGCTTGGTGAAGACATCCAACATCAACGCGCCCCTTTGGTGAGTCCAGTGTGGCTCTAGGTGAGAAGTCGTAGAGCTGGAGTAAGCATCTTCATTGCGTACTGCAACAAAACGCATTTCAGCTTTGAAGCAAATGAAAAGGGTGAGGGATCAAAAACAATAATGTTAAAAAAATTATATAAACATGCAAAAACATAATCAACAAAGAATATGAGAAATTAGTATTTAAACACCATATCCAAAGGGATCAGCAAGAAAACTAAATAAGGATCAAGCAAATAATATAGCAATCTTAACAATAGCAGTGGTGGTATTGGAGAATAGCAGCAGCAGCAGCAGCAGCAGCAGCAGACTTTACATTCTGTTCCTGTTCCTATTCCTTTTTTGATCTAAATGCCGTGGCTCAAATCTAAAACGCATTCACAGGAGTGGTCACGATATTTAGCGACCCAAGAGACCAAGTGACCAGGGGACGGGGGACCAAAGGACTATTTGTTTGATGCCTATCCTGATGAAAACGTCGCCAAAAGGAGAGTCTGCCTACAGAAGTGTTTGGAGTATCTAAGCACCAAAAGGACTGATATGCAAGCGCTTCTGTGAAATCGAGATGGAGGCTATCCATTGCAGGTTGGAGGCCATCGCTCGTAGGTTGGAGGCCATCGCTTCTAGGGTCATTACTTCTAGTCTCGACATCCAGCTGCCTGACGCCCAGCTCTGCCCCTTTTCCGCTCGCTACGGAGTGGACTCTGTGTTCGGCCCGAGTCAAACGGGAAATCCCGCAGCGTTGGTGGCTGAAGAGCGACGAAAGAGGCCATGCTTCATCGGTCTATCACGTGACTGGAAGAGGCGAAGCTTGATTCTAGCTATGGCAACGTGACGCTTTTCTTGAGACAACCGTCACTAGAACTGTTCCAACGTCACGCTTCCGCAAGAGAGATCAAAGCCATTCGACCCTCCAAAACGAATGAATGCTGCAAGGTCCGTCTGTTCTTTACCAGAAACACACTCTCTGCACTCCCAGTTTCATTTCTTCTTTCGGCTGAAAGACCTTGAACAGCAGCTAGAAAGCTCTCTGCGCTAACTCACCACTGGTTGTGGATAGGTCCAATTTGAAGCGCTGGTCATGCCCTCCGTCTCTGGATAGACCCGACGCCTCAGGCATACAGGCATGCGTCGGCATGCGCTAAATGTGGCAGAAGTGGACACGTCCCAGCAAACTCATGAGCATCGTGCGGTCTCAAAGCAATGGCCTCCAACCTAATAGCAATAGCGGGCAAAAACAGAAAAAGAACCCTACTAGCGACGAGTTTCCTGGAAATGTGTGCCTTTGGATCTTCTCGACTGAAGTGGCGAGGTTTCAGTCCGTCCGACATTCGCATCCCTTCCCTCGGCAGCCACACGTCGACTTCTTGGACTCCTAGAGGCAAAGCGAGTTGAAAGCTCCCATCAGTACTGCCCTAGAGGCAGGTAGCGTCCTTGTTGCTGGTGACTAAACACTCCAAATCCAAAGACTGCATCTTGATTTTCTCCGAAGTCGGGAGGCGATTTGCTACTAGTTGCCTCTTGCTCCTAGTAGCGATGCCCTTTGTTACTAGCAGCTTCTTGTTCCTAGTAGTAATGCCAGGAGCTACTAGTAGCGATGCCCTTTGCTACTAGTAGAAATGCGCTCGTTATTGGTAGCAATGCCGTTGTGCCCGTGCATGGATGATCTAGTCCTTGTTTGCCCAATCCACTTGAGCGGCGGTTTGTTGGGACCAGGCATCTATCCTGGCAGAGAAAACATAATGACGAACCTAAAAGCAATAGCCTCCAACCTAAGAGAGATGGCCTCCAATAGAAGAGCTACAAAAAACCACTGTTGAACGCAAAGTTGAAGTGCATAAAAACCATTTTCATATCAGAAAAACAACGCCATAAGGTTTTGAACTTTGGCGTTCTGTGGGCTGTGAATGTGTGAGATGCAACTGAAAAGGGCTCCTGATGGAAGACACTTAGGACACGTGGGAAGAACACTTAGGACATTTAAATGCCAGAAACATTTGATGGACAAGCGCTTCTAGTAACAAGTGCCTTACTAGTAGTGACAAGAAGCTATTAGTAACAAGTGCATCGCTACTAGGAACAAGTGCATCGCTACTAGGAGCAAGTGCCTTACTTGTAGTAACAAGAAGCTATTAGCTTATTGTTTCTAATAGCTTCTTGTTACTATTAGTAAGGCACTTGTTACTACTAGCGTGGCACTTGTTACTGGTAGTAACAAGAAGCTATTAGCTTATTGTTTCTAATAGCTTCTTGTTACTATTAGTAAGGCACTTGTTACTACTAGCGTGGCACTTGTTACTGGTAGTAACAAGAAGCTATTAGCTTATTTTTTCTATTGGCTTCTTGTTACTAGGCGCTCAAATTCTAAATCAAGGCCGATGTCTGCCGAGCGACCCCCGGGTTCCCATCGCCACGGTGGCCGAGGTCGGTGCCTCGGTGTCCGGGACCAGGTCCACCGACGCGTTTGGTTCGTTTGGTTTGCTCCCTCTCTCTCTCTCTCTCCCGAACTAGCAATGGCCTCCAACCTTCTAGCGATGGCCTCTGACCTACGAGCGATGGCCTCTACAGGAGCGATGGCCTCCAACCTACTAGTGATGGCCTCCAACCCCAGTAGCGATGGCCTCCAACCCAATAGGGATGGCCTCCAACCTCTTTTTTGTCCGAACCTCCGATTTCGCTACTCTGGGTTGCCACTGCCGGTGGCTCCTCCATGTTCAGGGTCGCCTCCAACCATGCTTTTTGTATCCCGGTTCGCACCGGGATTTCTTGACTGTTTGGACACGTGCCCATGCGAGGCGACGACAAACTTCAACTCTTTGAGCTTTCAAGAAACACTTTCTTCACGGGGAAGCACGCAGATATTGGGAGTGCACAACAAGTCTTGCACCACCCTACAACGGCCCGAAAAGTTGCGCTCTGTGAATGCACTACAAACTCAAGCTGAAACCTGGCTATCGAAGCCCTTCTGTCTGCATTCCTTCCCCCAAATTTGTATGCTTTGTATGCATGTTTTAGATAAGTTATATATGGTTGAGTGGGCTCTGGAATACCTAGGACATGTTGGGAATCAGGACGTGGCACCTCCAGTCAGGGCTCCACATCTCCAAATGGTAAGACATTGCAAAGACGGTGAACTAATGTGACTTGAGGAGAGGATAGACCATGCAAAACGATCGAGGAAGCGAAAATACGGTCCGCCGGGTAGAATGTCAGCCTTTGGGCCATCGCTAGTAGGTTGGAGGCCATTGCAAGTAGGTTGGAGGCCATTGCTACTAGAAACAAAGGAAAACACGCTTTGTTACTAGTAGCGATGCCCTTGTTCCTGGTAGTAAGGAGCCCCTGGTAGTGTCCTTGCTCCTAGTAGCGATGCCCATCCGCCTTTGAGAGCTTGCAGAAGGTGGCGGAGGTGATGCTGGCCAAGATGCCGCAGATCTCAGTGTTGGCGCTCTGTTGGCTCACTTGGCACAGCAGCATTTATCGGGGGCCGCAATCGTGGACAAAACCCAAGACACTCAATATTTTCACAACATCTTCTATGAAAGATCCCTGTGCCTGCCGTCCCCAAACCAAAACTGCAAAGGAAGATGCACGTGCTAAAAAGGAAGATCCTCGCTGGATTGGCTCTTCCCGACTTGCCAAGTTGGGCATTCTCCGCAGTAGCGAACACAACAATCACTGCCATCTGGCAGCGTCGAGCGTCCTGAGTGCTCCGGGCCGTCGACCAAAAGCCGATACCGTTGAGGCCCGGCTTCACCACCTTGGCGACGATGGGCGGTTTCATGCCCCTTTTGGTGGCCAAGGAGCTCGGGCAAAAACCACTTGCTCCGTTCGTAGCTCCTTGTTACGTCCGTAGCGATTTCCTCCAACCTACTTGCAATCGCCTCCACCGAGCCTGGCGTCCTTGGCCTAATAGAACATAATATTTGTGATGTTTACATACAACATGAGGGTTGGATGTAGTGTCACCTATAAGGGCAGTTGGACAGACTACTCTCTCTCTCTCTCTCTCTCTCGATCTTTAGGCCAAACAATACGAGTTGTATCTTGATTGGCCCGGTTCGTAAACCTGACCCATGATGCGGGAGATGTCCACATCGTGAAGCAATAAAAATCACCAGCCAAGGCCTCAGCCGAGGCCTCTCCGTCTCAACAGATCCCGCCAATTGGACTCAACGTCCATTGGTACTTCATTGGTGAGATCCTAAAAAAATTCTAGAAACCCCATGATTAGTGGGAGTGCTTCCTTGAAGAAGCGTGAGCTATCCTGGTTCCAGTAGGTAGTAGCTCAAAGTAGCTAGAAGCTTGCTCCCCCAACTTAATTAGGGAGGGAGGAGGACAGAGGGGGCTTCAAAAAGAAATTATTCCCACAAGGGCATCGCTACTGGGAACAAAGGGCATCGCTACTAGAAGCAAGGACGCTACTATTAGCTCCTGGCCATACTACTAGGAACAAGAAGCTACTAGTAGCGTCCTTTGCTACTAGTAGCAAAGCCAGGAGCTACTAGTAGCCACTCCTCCGGACCCGTCATCCACCGCTTTGGCGCTGGACGGAAGTGGCCGCAGTAATGACCTGAGCAAGGTGGCGTCGGATGTGACGGGGGAGACGAACCGGGCGCGGCGAAACCGTGCGCTCTATATTAGAAGCTAGTAGAAACAATAAGTAAATAGACTTTAAACAGAATTAAGTGTAATTAAAAGGCCCTAATAGCTTCTTGTTACTACTAGTAAGGCCCTTGCTCCTAGTAGCGATGCACTTGTTCCTAGTAGCTTTCTTCTAATAACAACCTTTATTCCTTTTATTTTCTTCTTTGTTTCTAATAGCAATGGCCTCCAACCTACTAGTGATGGCCTCTCTGGTTCCTTGCCACTTCGGTCTCGTCCTCTTTGCTGTTCCTTTGGGACTTCATGGAATCATTGAAGTCCGCTTTGAAAGGAAGGCTACTAGGGGCCTACTAGGGACCAGGAGCAAGAAGCTACTAGGGGCTCCTGGCATCGCTACTAGTAACAAGAAGCTACTAGGGGCTCCTGGCCTTACTACTAGGAGCAAGGACGCTACTAGGAGCATGAGGGAACCTCCAAGCTTTAGCGTTTGGCCTCCCCACAGCGACACTTTGGAAGAAGGCGCAGCCTGATGGGACAGCACGAAGCCGGAAGCCGACATGAACGTTCATGCGGAGGGAGGAGGTTTGACTTCGGGTGAATGTTTTTTCTTCCTCCGCAAGCTGGAGGCCATCGAAAGTAGGTTGGAGGCCATTGCTTCTAGGTTGGAGGCACATCTGGTTTGAAGCACATCTGGTTTGAAGCCGAACGAGGAAATTCCTCATGTTCAAAGAAGTTTTCCTCTTGGGGGTTAAGAACCAGGAACCACTCGCGGTAGGTCATGAACAATCATTCTCCTGCCGCGTTGAGGGTGACCTAAGCTTGGGGCCATTGGTTTAAAGGATCCTGACTATCACGACATCTAAAGTGATTCACTTGGCATCAGGTTGCTTAGGTTGCTTTCGCTTGGCCGATTCCAGGTCTGTCCGAAGAGTTTCATCGAAGTGGAGAGGTGCACCAAGTGCCGAGTGAGATAGTGCTCAAAACTCATCCTTGAACCTTGAGCCCCCCCCTGGTGAGTTGCATAAGTTGCATAGTTCTGCCTGGTACTCAAGAAACACACAAAAAAATCTGAGACCTGCAAATATATTCCCTGCCATCACACTGTCCACATAAACGCAAGCTGTCGCCTGTGGCCATAAACATCCCTGTCTGCTGCGGGAAGCGCCATGCGAACCTCCAAGCGCTTTCGACTTCGAGGCCGCAGCGTGTTTCGGCCCAAATGCAAGGGGTCGTAGCTGTGTCAGGCCAAGACCCAAGTTCAGCTGACCGCTAAGGTGACTTCGCCTGTGATGTGTGTTATGTTGACACGTTGACATACTGACCCCTCAGCGAAAAGTCTGTGGAGTAGAAGCATGCATTCAATGAAGCTGAGATTCAATTGCGGATCTCCACAATTGAGAAGGAGTATTTTTACTTCTCCATATCCTGGACCAAGACGAATCAGGCATTCTGGTCTACTCCATGCAAGCCAACTATATAGCAGGAAACATCAAAAGGTTGGAGAGCTTCAAAAGCAGCATCCAACATACCTGCAAATCAAACACAGAAAACAATGGCAGAAGCAGTGCCTTCACCAAAACCATTCCTCCGTTCTTCACCCATAACTTCTACAGCTCCATCATTGAACACCTTGTTGTCGCTGCTGCGCCGCTGCGGGCCGCCACGTGGCCTCTGCTTGGCTCCCAGGAAGAGCACCATCGCTGGGAAGCTGTGGGCCATTGAAATGATGACCGCCTCAAAATATGGAGGAACATCATGGCACGCTACTACGTTGGCGGCCATCGCTAGTAGGTTGGAGGCCATCGCTACTAGAAACAAAGAACATAACCATCAAAAACTGGGCAACATCCGACTCTTTGAGTGTTTCTTTTGCAAAGAACCGTCTGATTGAATCCCAGAAATTGAAACGGGCCAGTGTAAGCATGGGAGACCATTTTCTGCTACTACTAGCGTCCCTGCCCTTTGTTACTAGTAGCTTCTTGCTCCTAGTAGTAAGGCCAGGAGCCCCTAGGAGCGTCCTTGCTCCTAGTAGCTCCTGAGCATGTCTGAACTACGTCCTATTTTTCTGTATGGAACACACAATATCAATATCTGTCAATGTGTTGTTTGTCTGGCTAGACCTGCTAGGAGAAACAAAGTATTGAACTGATCCAGTATCAACCTTCAACAATGCGGACATTTCACCTCTCCACAAATTGAATGCTGGTCAAACGCTACTGCCTGCTTCACAGAGTTTAGTTGTGGCTGCAACCTCCAAAAGCGTTTGACATCAATGCTTGCTAAGAAACACTTCCGCATAAAACCCGTCTTGAACAGAGACACAACCGCAGGATTTGGGGATTTGGCTCACTGCCACTTGTGAACTTCCCTGCTTTAATGACACTCTTTCAAGAAAGCTGCCACCAACGTGAAAGCTTACCCAACTACAGCGATGTTTTTTGTGGAAAACGAGGAGCAAGAGCAAGGCCGAAGGAACACCAGAAAACAACTTGTGATTTGCGGATCCGTCAACGGACCTCCGGCCCGATGCCATCGGCTCAGGGTGCGGCTAAGAACATGCATCCCTTGGCGATCCAGATCTTCCTTGGCGAACGCGGACGGAATGGGCTTTTTAGCCTAATAGCGATGGCCTCTGGGGAAAAGGTATTTTGCTTGACGTAGTTTCCGCTGAAAGGAAAAGGCGGAAGTCTACCAAGTTGGACATGGCATTTCGAAAACTCCTTCGAGATCAAACACATGTTTCCAGAGTCCACTCTGTCCCTCTCCACCCTAGTAGCGTTCTTGCTACTAGTAGCAAATAGCTACTAGTAGCGATGGCCTCCACCGTGGTAGCGTCCTTGCTACCCTCTTCCTTCCCAAAACAAACCAGCCGAGTGACTCGAAGTTCCCCGAGACCAAGCAGGGATCCTCGGTCTCGAACCATGCGAAGGGCCCCTCGGCGCTCTTCTGCATGTCCTCGGTGCTCGAACGGCTTTTGGCGGTTTCCAAAAAGAATGGGTTGTGCTTGGTATGTACCTCGTTGGAGGCCGTCGCTAGTAGCTTGGAGCATCGCTAGTAGTGTACGGTTATAGAACTGCAAAAGATTCACTCCAAAACGCGTCCTTTTTCGTGATTTGCTCCACCCGACCAACCGGTCACCGAGGGAGCTGCAACTGAGGCTTCCGACGAAGACAGCCAAATGACAGGAAACAAAGGAGGTCACATCTGGAGGATAGGCCTGAAACAAAGGATCTCGGTACATCCACAAAGCTCATGGGATGTGTCTTTTCAATTCAATGAAAACTCTGAAGTGCAAAAGAGTATTCTATTTTGTTCTTCTCTTGTTGCCAAGGAATTCCAGCAGGATGCTGCCCCAAACACTCTTTCCATGGTTCTTCTAAATTTCCATTAACGACTCCAAAGATTGCACCACAGTCCCTCTTGCAGCTATTTTGCTAGTAGGTTGGCGGGCATTGCTATTAGGTTGGAGGCCATAGCTATTAGGTTTATTAGGTTGGAGGATATCGTTGATCGGTGAGGCCATTACTTCTAGGGTCTCGCCCCGGACCTCGGGCTCCGGTGGCAGCATGGGTGCCGCCGTCGGCGGCGCTGTGTTGGGCTCCGCCGCAGGCGTGGTGCGCGGCTGGCGGAGAATCGGAGAGAATCGGATCGAACCACTGGTAGTAACAAGTGCCACGCTAGTAGTAACAGGTGCCTTACTAGTAGTAACAATGTTTGCTATTAGAAACAATAAAATTAATAGCAAACATTGTTACTACTAGTAAGGCACTTGTTACTACTAGTAAGGCACTTGTTACTAGTAGCCTCCTTTGCTACTAGAAAAAAGGATTCTACATGTGAAACATGTAGTGTGAGTCTTTGAAGGCTTATCACGATTTGCTTCTGATTTCTCTTCCCTATCTTCAGTTGCAATTCTTGAGCGGAAAGGCATGTTTCTTAGACGGATTCGGTGATCGGATCCACCCGTCTATGCATAATGCAGAAATTAGTTCCGACCAAGGCAGGCGGGCTTCCCTGTTCGTCGGAAGATCATTTGAACATCCCAAAACCTTGACCGCTCGCTTCAGCCATGGACTGCAAGCGGTGAAATGCAGTTCTTAGGTCAGGTTGGAGGCCATGGCTATTCCTTTGGAAGGAACAAGTGCATCGCTACTAGTAACAAGTGCCTTACTAGTAGTAACAAGAAGCTATTAGAATTAAACTAAATTTAAAATAACATTAATAGCAAACATTGTTACTACTAGTAAGGCACCTGTTACTACTAGCGTGGCACTTGTTCCTAGTAGCAAAGGAGGCATCGAAAGCGTTGAGTTGCGCCTGTAGAGTCCGGAGCGTCGCCAGAGTGGTGGTGGTCAGGTCCTGGAGACTCCGAGCGCTGGCCAGTTGACACGCTTCGGACAGCCCTAGTAGATTCCTTTCTAGTAATTTTAGTTTTAATTTCTAATTTTAATTCTATTTCTGTATTGTTTCTACTAGCTTCTTGTTACTACTAGTAAGGCACTTGTTCCTAGTAGCGATGCACTTGTTACTAATAGCGAACCGAAGGTGAGACTTGAGGCCAAGTGAGGTCTGCTGTTATGGATTGAGATGGACTGAGCAAGTTGATCTGGTCTAAGGCCGTTCAAAAAAGAGCTTTCCCAAGCGGGGCAACATGAAAATGCTTTGGGATAGGTTGCGAAGCACGGTCTGGGGTTCTGATCGACTTTTGATGTGCTTCATTTCATCCTGTCCCTACGGTTGGTGTATGTGTCGCTTTCGTAGTCTCCTCATTCAACCAACAATGGCAACCAATGCGAAAGCATCAACAGCACGCTTTTCAACACCGCAGAAGTGCACCCCAAAAACCTTGCCGCCAAGACTCTAAGAGCTCGATCTCCCAAGCCTCCTTCAAGGCCCAGTCACTCCTAAGAGGACGAAGACACACGAGGGCCTCCAACCTACTAGCGATGGCTGGTGGGATCAGTTCAGTGTCCTGGTTCAACGGGTAGACCCGCAGGACGCTGTTCCAGGTTTGGGGTGCCACAGGGAAGCTACGTAAGGCACTTGTTACTACTAGCGATGCACTTGTTACTACTAGGAGCAAGGATGGGTTCAGCCAAGACCGCAATTGACGCTCTGTCGACCATTTCTTTTGCGGCAGCCGCCAAGTACAAACGCGCTACTCCTGTCATACCATACGACAGCATACCCCCAACATTTAGGTTGGACCATCGCTATCAGGTTGGAGGCCATCGCTATTCGCTATTATTTCAAGGGACATGGCGCAGAAACATTGGATGAAAGGTTCACCCTCCCTGACAGCAACACTTTGTTGCAACAAAGGCGACTTAGGTCCTCCTTACATGGCAAGGTCCTTTACAGCCTGCCGTATTTCCCACTCTTCCTGAAGAAAAAGACTTCCTCGGCTCTTTCACTGCATCAAAAGAAGAGCAACTCCGTGCACCACATCTGAGAGAAGAAGCCTCCAACCCTTGAATTCGCAAGTAAATCGTCTCCAGCCATGACGACGCATACAGGATGAATGCAGCCATGGCCGGAACAACCAAGGCTTCGCACGACAGGTGTGGTGTTTCACGTCCTTGCCTTTGTCAAGTCCGAGGCCGCCCTTTCACGTTGGTCATGTCAGGGCGTCTTGCCTCCGTTGATGAATGCTGTCGAATCACATTGTGAAGGTCTGGCAGACTCCATAGGAGCAAGGGGCATCGCTACTAGGAACAAGAAGCTACTAGGGGCTCCTGGCCGTACTATTAGGAGCAAGGACGCTACTAGTAACAAGTTGACGAAAGTGCTGCGGCGGAGTGACGGAGTGGCGTGAGACTCATGTCCCCCGTGGCGTGACGGAGTGGAGGTCGCACGGTTTCTTTCGGAGGCTCCTAGGGGAGCTCTACACCACCAGAATCAATGCTCCAAAATCTCCATCTGACAGTATCCAACCGCTGCGCTTGCTGAGTGGCTGTCGCAGACTTTGGAAGTTGTGTTGCAGAGTTCAATTAGGAAAGTGCCGTGCTGAGCCAATGACTGCGAGACAACTTTCTGCAGAATCACCCAACTGCCAAGGTGGAATGGGTAGAGGACGCTACTAGGGGCTCCTGGCCTTACTAGGACTAGGAGCAAGAAGCTACTAGGAGCAAAGGGCAAAGCTACTAGGAGCAAGAAGCTACTAGGGGTTCCTGGCCCTACTACTAGGAGCAAGAAGCTACAGGAGCAAAGGGCATCGCTACTAGGAGCAAGAAGCTAAAAGGGGCTCCTGGCTGTACTACTAGGAGCAAGAAGCGACCAAAGGGCATCGCTACTAGGAGCAACAAGCTACTAGGGGCTCCTGGCCCTACCACTAGGAGCAAGAAGGCTAGGAGCAAAGGGCATCGCTACTAGGAGCAAGAAGCTAGGAGCAAGAAGCGACTAGGAGCAAAGGGCATCGCAACTAGGAGCAAGAAGCTACTAGGGGCTCCTGGCCCTACTACTAGGAGCAAGAAGCTACAGGAGCAAAGGGCATCGCTACTAGGAGCAAGAAGCTACTAGGGGCTCCTGGCCTTACTACTAGGAGCAAGAAGCTACAGGAGCAAAGGGCATCGCTACTAGGAGCAAGAAGCTAAAAGGGGCTCCTGGCTGTACTACTAGGAGCAAGAAGCGACTAGGAGCAAAGGGCATCGCTACTAGGAGCAAGGACGCTACTAGGGGCTCCTGGCCTTACTACTAGGAGCAAGAAGCTACTAGGAGCAAAGGGCATCGCTACTAGGAGCAACAAGCTACTAGGGGCTCCTGGCTTTACTACTAGGAGCAAGAAGCGACTAGGAGCAAAGGGCATCGCTAATAGGAGCAAGACGCTACTAGGGGCTCCTGGCTTTACCACTAGGAGCA